ACCTGTTTTGAACTTATGACTCACTTGGTAAGACACACAAACACATGAAAAAGCAAGCGATAGGGGGGAAGATGGTCATGCCAGTCATGCGGAAGTGGGACATCCCTCATTCCTGTTGTCCCCAGCAAACACTGTGATTTGGAAGGTGACCTCTGCTAGAGTTCTAGGACCCAGAGGCCACTTGTCATGTTCCACCAGTACCTCTGCGAGGGACGTCAGTGGACTCGAGGGCCCAGGAAGCGCCTGTTCTGGCCTGGCCCTGGCAGCAGGGGTGGCTGCTGCAGTTTCTGGGTCCCGCAGCAGAGGGCAGAGCGCTGTGCCCATAGGGGCACTCATAGATGGACAGTGTGTGCATGCATGGACACATGGCTGGGACACGGACATGCGTGGACACACATGCAGCACACACGCTGCCCATACATCCCACAGTAAGATTTGTACAATCCTAAAATGCCCCTCCCTGCATCCCCTAATGTGTCCCATATGCCTAGGCAGTAACCCCCCTTGATCTGCGAGGTGCTCCGGAGAGGGGCTCCTGTGACTCGCTGCAACGGGTGTCCCCTCGGCCCATGGGGCCAGTGGCTCTCCTCGGTCAGCTCTGGGGGGCCAGGGCAGGGTCTCCATTTCTCTGCCTGGGTTTTGGGGTTCTCCCACCTGCCGTTTTGCCTCTGGGCTCCTTTATGTGTGTGGAGATGAGCCTTTTATCACATAACCTAACAACTGCCCTTTTGGAGGTACTCAGGCTGTATTTCCAGGTGCTAGTGGAGGTATGGCATTTAATAACAACTGCCACTCAGACGAGTTGCTTTGTTTCACTGAGATGTCCCCATTCCTGCCTCATCTCCCTGTCTCCCCTAGGTTCTGCAGCAACAGAAAAAAGTACTCTTCTGTTGTCCCATGCCACAATTACCATGGACAGCTTATTGCTGTGGAGGCTTGTGATGGAAACACAACACTGATGTGCATGGAGTGTGAAAGTGAGAAGACAACAGGCTGAGACCAGCCATGAAACCCTGGAAAAGAGCATAGAAAAGAGCAAAGGATGGGCACGTGCTGTGACACCAGGCCACAACAGAGATGTGGAGCAACAGCAGTTTGAGATAACTCAGCCGGAACCTAAGCTACCTTTGTCACAGATATATCAGATATATGGTCCAAGTGGAGAGGAAGATTACAATTCAAGCCTGGTCTGAGCGTGGAGCTCATGCCCACGAAGGGAACTGCCAAGTCTAGCAGATGCCCAAACCTATGCATATAGGAGGGCAGTGACATCTTTGGACCAGGGGTTTGGAGAGAAAGGAGTGGAGAGAGATTGTGAACTGGCTATGGGGGATTCAGCAATGCAACCTAGTAGAGCAGAACGTGCAGACAGCATCGGATCCATTGCCAAGCCCTCCAAGTGAATTTTACTCTCAGGTAAAGTTTCTTGGATCCTATTGACCTGTCAGAGTCAGTTTATACTAGGTTAACCATTTGTTTTTTTGTGATTGCAGCAGTTTTGATCTGGTCTTAAGCAAACTAAATCTGGATTTATCCAATCACCTGACTGTGGCCTGACCCAACATGTTCCTGTCTTTTATAAAGACAGCCAGAATTCACTTAACATGCTCAGCAATGTTAATCCCTTTTCACTTGACAAAGTAGCCAATATTTGAGCCTTTCTTGTGCTAGGCGCTCACTCATCCATCAGGATCAAACTTCAAGCTCCCAAATACAGGAAAGACACTGACATCCTGGAGTGAGTCCAGTGAAGGCCACTCAGCGGATTAAGGGAGCTCAGGCACATGACATGTGAGGAGAGGCTGAGAGAGCTGGGTTAGTTAAGTCTTCAGAAGAGAAGGCTAAAGGGAGATCTTAGTGCTGTCTTCAGCTACGTCATGGGAGGGTGTAGACGAGATGGAGCCAGACTCTTCTCTGAAGTGCAGAGTGATCAAATGAGAGGCAACAAACACAAGTTGCAACATGGGAAATTCTGATTCAATGTTAGGGAAAAAATTATTCCTAGGAGGGGGATCAAACAGTACAACAGGAGCCCAGAGAAGTGTGTGATCTCCATCTTAAGAAATAGTCAACTCTGGACTGGACAAGGTGCTGAGCAACTGATCTAAGATGGCCCTGCTTCTGGTGGGGGCCTGGACCAGAGACGTCCAGAGGTCCCTTCCCACCTCAGTTATAGTGTGATTCTGTGATTCACCCTATTAGCTAAGGGAAGCCTGGATGGTGAGCACAGGCTCAAGTTAGCTGAGATGAATCCTGTTCTAGGGATTGATCCCTCATCCAGACACATGGGGATTTTTTTCCTACCCTTTCGAACTCTGAAGATTCTTGTGCCAGTCACACTGCTGAGACAGAGCTTTCTATTACAACATCTGGTCTCTAGTCATTTTGTTTGCAGAGAGTGAGACTGCCCTCTGCTCTGATTTGAAACTCACTTTCTCAACATTTAATGTTTGCAGTATAAAGCAGCCAGTCACAAGGCTTCTGTCCTGCATTTTTGTTAGCAAAGCTTTTGTCCTCTGCCTGCAAATCCAGCACTGATTCACTGTGCTGAGAGACACAGATGTTTTCACATTCCTCTCAGACAATGTATTCCTCCCTTTCCTATCCAGCACAGATGCACATACGTTCCTCCCTTTCTAAAATCACAGACTTGTTCTTGCTCTCCAACAAGCTCTGTCACCACCAGCACACAGACAAAACCATAGAGGGGAGTCTGCCTGTTGTCCTAACTCTGTCTGTAGATAAAGATCATGCTGTATGGCACAGCAATAATGAATCCTTACAGTCACTGCCATCTAGTTTCTCCAAGTACAACCTGCACACAAGTGTAATTCATTTCATTAAGTTGTAACTCCAGAAGGGCTTGAAGGATCTCTCGTTCTGTTATAAAAGACTATTTGAGATAAAAATTAGACAGGCACAAGTGTTCTGTTCCCAGAGGCCTCCTTAAAAATTAACTCCTAAATCGATTGGCTGGTTATTAATGAATCCTCAAACTCATTTCAGTAGCCAAAGAGGGAGACTTTGGGAACCAGGAGAGAGATTTCATACTTTTCCTTTGTACCAAGAAGGTTAAATATGGGCTTTAAGTTAAATCAATATGGGCTTTAAGTACAGAATCAAAGCAATGACACAGGTAGAGCCAGTTTACAATACAGGCTCTAGAAGTCATAACTTTGGCCTGGAGAGGCTGGGCTTCAGGAAGAGAACAAGCCCCTGGCTCTGATCTGTCCCCTTTCTGCCCACTCCCAGAGGGACTTGTGAACCTCTGGGCTGGCTGGCTCAGCTTCGCTTCCCTTGACGCCCTCGTGGTGCCCCGGCAGGGCTGGCTGGGGATTCTTCGGAGGAAGTGGTCCGGCAGATTTTCACCAGCGCAGGCTGGATCCCTGCTCACGTTCTCTCAAGCTGAGGGAGCAGGCGGCTGCAGCTGGGCTTCAGCATGATGAGCCTTTGGGTGGACATGGGTGAGGGTGGCTGTGAGCACAACAGGGTGGCCATGGGGACAGGGGTGTGGGTGGCGCTGGGAACAATGGTGAGGGTGGCCATGGCGATGAGGGTGAGCGTGGCCGTGGGGATGGTGGTGAGGGTGGCCATAGGGTTGAGGATGAGAATGAGGGGGGGTGTGGAGACAGGGCCAAGGGCAGCTGTGGGAACAAGGGTAAGGGTGACTGTGGGGCTGCAGGTGGCTGTGGGGATAGGGTGAGGGTGGCCGTGGGATGGGGGCAAAGGGGACCTGGGGACAGGGGTGAAGGTGGCAGTGGGTGGCGGTGGAGACAGATGGGGATGAGGTCGGCGGTGGGGCAAGGGTGAGGATGAGGGCGAGAGTGGCTGTAGGGACAGTGGTGACGGTGGCCATAGAGATGAGGATGAGGTTGGTTGCGGGGCTGGGGGTGGCTGC